CCCTCATTTTTTATTGAATTCCTAAAAAACAATATTTATAATAAATTTTAATAATTTTTTCGAATTTTTTTTAAACTTTATTCTGACTGATTCACCCGATTCCCGATCCGGATCGCCGATTCGCCGATCCAGATCGGTTTTTTGGAAGCCCGATCCGGGTCACCGATCCGTTTTTTAAACCATTGGTTTACACATAACTTATATTAAATCTCAATTGAACCTTTGTAAGACACTAAAACATTGAAAAGTAGCTAAATATATAACTTATTGCTAGAATCATCTAAATAAATATATTAAATACTTACCCCTTACTCAATCTACTCCCATATCTTACAGCGTTAATATTTCAAATATATGGCACATATTTTTAAGGAAGTTTATATAAGGTTGCAATCTTAAAATGTAGAACGACAGATACACTTCAAAAATCCATCGAAAATTGTTGTTTTAATGTTGAAAAACTCTCTAATTGATCATCTCAACATCGAGATGTATGGATATGAAAAAGAAATGTTTTTTATTCCCATAAATAGTGCATCTTGCAACACATTATCTTGACCGTCTGTTTTCAAAATTTTCGTATGTTTATTGATCTACTTGATTTTAACCGTTTTTAGAGTTTAAAATTTTATAATTAGATATAAAAATAGATTTTCAGACAATCTTATGATTTTTTAACACAAAAAATACATGTTATGATAAAGTTTGGAGGTACACCTTAATTAGATTGTTAACCGCACACTATTTTTAATATTTCAAATATATGGCACATATCTACATTTCAAATATATGGTACATAGTTTTAAAACTATTGAATGATCATGTGGAGCTTTATACACAACAATCAAATGAAAATCATGTTGATAATCATGAAATCATGTTGTCACAAAATTTTCGTTTCAAAGGGATTATCCACACCTTTATACATAAAGAGAGAGATAATTTTTTAACTCTAGATGAACTGAATTTAGAGTTCAATTGAACTTCTAACTCTAAATTCAGCTCTTCACATCAAACATAAAAAAGTTAACCAAAAAATAAAAAAGGCAATAACTTTTACAAATTCGGATAAAACTTCTTAAGAGGAAAAAGAGGACCATAATGCAACTCAACTTCATAACACTAACCCACCAACCGATTTGATTCATCAAAAACCTATCCCGCAAGACACTCGCTAAAGGAAAAAGTTTATATGAAGTTTGCAACCTTAAAAATGTAAAATTGAAGATGCACCTCAAAAATTCATCAGACAAGATTGTTTTACTGTTGAAAAACCCTCTAATTGATCATCTCGACATAGAGATGAATGAATATAAAAAGAAAAGATTTTGTATCCAAGAAATAGTACATCTTGCGACACATTATCTAGACCATCCATTTTTAAGATTTTCATAATTTAAGATCTACTTGATTTCAACCATTTTTGAAGTTTAAAATTTTATGATTAGATATAAAAATAGATTTTCAAATAATCCTAATACTTTTTAACACCAAACTTACATGTTATTAAAGAAGTTGCAAATCTAAATCGGTGATCGAAAACTTGGCACTTGAGCTCGATCACTTGCCGAGCTGAGTACACGGGTGAAACTTGGGGCAACCATAAATTTAAAAAATCATAAAACATATATTAAAATTGAAATGAATATATAAATATTTTATCTGTATTTAGCCAAAAAATAATTTAAATGCAATCTGTATATATTTAGTGATGATTGTGAGTTTTTGAGTTTTTTTATCACATGCCCCATTTCTATATTTTTATATTTGGTGATGATTTGTTAGTTTTATGGGTTTTTTATTACATGCCCTATTTTGATATATTTTTCTCTATTTTTCAATTTTTCTGAAATGTCCCTAGCTATAAATCAAAATTTCTAAATCCATGTTTTGTAATTTTTTTTTCCATTCTTAGTTCGACTTTTCTCTGTTTTCAGTTTAGTTTGATATTTTGCTATTGTTATATTTTTTTTTGTACTTTTTATGGGCCACTCAGAGTCCCTGAGTTACTTTGTGAACCTCGATCTATAAAGGAAAATGGTTTGAAAGCCTCTCACTTTATAACTCATAAAAAATTGCAATTCAAGCATTAGAAGACCTTTATATATCTTGACTTGAACATTATGGTTGTGAAAAAAAAAAAAAAGGTACGATTTCAAACTCTAAAAATATGGTTATTGTAACAAATTATCCTTCTCCCAAAAAATAAGTATTGTATATATACAAGATCTGTACCATTTTTAAGTTTCGAATTTTTGAGTTTCGAATTTCATTGCCGAAAATTAATTTTAAAGTCATCATGGAGATTTCTGTTGCCGAAAGCGATTTGAAGTAAGGCTTTATTTTGTTTTTATAAAGCCTAGGCCCTACAGAAACTTCATCCCGATCCAAATGATCTCACCATTACCGCCACTGCACAAAAACTTGGCAAAATGTAGAAAAAGTGAGACAAAGAGAGGACAAGCAGGGAAAATCCAAATCAAAGCTAGGTTTATGGGTGAGCGAGCTGAACCAGCTCTACGGCACCATGCACCACTAAGTATGATATTATAATACACAACCTGGGCAGCATCCACCACTCTTTCCCAATATGATAAGGTGCGGATGAACCATAGAATGTTCGATCTCCATAATCTGGAATTACAGGTGAGCTCCATCACCCATCATTGAGAATGGATGATCAACGCAGCTGTGTACCATACACTAACACTATATAGCTTGTGTACAGAATCATAAACATGTACATAGCTATGAGAGGGAACCACAAGTCCATAATTCATCAGCTTTATGCGCAACAGTTAATAAAATCACAAACATGACAATATCTGTAATACAGGCTCCCTAATATGATTCATTAACAATCTCATTTCTTACATGGGGAAATACTATCCCCTACAACCAAGTCAAATCCCAACTTCTATTAGATTTAAACCCCCCATCCAAATACAAATCCCAACTTCAATTTTTTGATTTTTGCTTTTTGTTTTCTTATTCCATATTTTGAAAGGCAGAAACAAGAAATTTGAAGACCCAAAATATCCAAATTCAAACCCCAACTTTAATTTTGTGTAGGTTTCTTTTGCTCATGAAAGAATAAAAAAAGAAAAAGAAAGATGAGGCTTTACAGGATCAAATTCAGGGCTGAGGCTTAGTCTGAGGAGCAAAGCCAGCAAACCAAGCAATCCTCATGAGTTGAACACCTAGAATAAGCACCCACAAAGATACCAAAACCCTCAGACCCTCCACAACCCAAGTGGGTGCACCCACCTCACCCACCAACCTCAAACCCCTCATCAATTGCAGCAACCTATATCCCTCATACACAATGGGGCCCAGCAGCCACACAGGTGATCGCCAACGCCATGTCAGCATCTCCGTCAGTATTTGTATGGATAAGAGGAGAAGGTAGGGACCCACCAAAATGAGAAATGAAATAAAGGGGAGAGTAGGTTGGAGAAAGCCCCTATGAGAGGCCAAGAGCATTACTATAGGGGCGACTAAACCTACTATGTTTGCGCCCATGTTCCAACATTTGTAACTCAAGGGGATTTCATAGGCATAGGTTTTAAGGCTTTTGGGGCGAGCACAGGCATCAGCCAGGAGAAGGAAGAGGGTGGCCCCCATGTTGAATATGTAATCGAGCCCCACTAATGAAAGAAGGCTCGATATGTTTGGACCAAGAAAGACAGAGGACATGGGTAGCCAAAGAGTGGGGATAATGCCTGTTATAAGTAAAATAGAAGGACCAAAGAGCCACATTGACCATTTTAAAGGCTGTGGCTCCTGCTTTTTCATATCTATTACATGGGTTTCCTGATTCTCAGGAAAGGGAAGTTCTGCTATGTCTTCGAAGGAATCGAGAATATTGTTTCCTTTTATAATGCTGCCGCTATCAACAGCAGGAGCACTAGATAGGGAAGAGGTATCCCAATGGGACAGCCTAGTGCATAAGAGAGGGTGTATTCTTCTTGAGTTAAACATTTGGAATTTGGGTTGGAGAAATGGTCTCGATAATGAAGTCATCAGGCTGTCCCACTGAGCTCGAGGAGGACTAGCCTGTAGCATGGATGGTGCTTGAGATAGAAGAACCATTGTGTTATCCATGGTTCTAATGAATGAATCGGTGCATATGGCAGGAACTCAAGCTGGTTTATCTCTGCGACTCAAACAAGCATCATTAGCAAAGTGAACATGCTGCAGCTTCTAAAGTTATACAGGACGAAATGATGTTATTATACTTGGGGAAAATACAGTGTACACAGTCTATAATGTTTATAGTAATTGTTCATATTGAGCGTCTAACTCAATTACGGGCAATGGCGGATAACCTGTTCATCCCCACTATGAATCATTGACGTGGACTGTGGAGATGATCAGTTACCATACACACCATAGAGTATACTCTCTAAATAATGACTCAAGAAGGAGATCAAACAAATTCATCAAGCTAAATGAGTTATAGAAAAGATAGCTACATATAGATAGAGGCTTCTTCAAACAAAGACGAATTGATAATACTGGTCCACAATCAGAAAATTTGGAGTAGCAACAATCAACAAAGACTAGATCAATATAAATCAAACATGTAGAAAAGCAGTACCCCATTATTGATCAGAAATGAATAAAAGCATAGAAAACAATGTAGCACACAGTCATGGCTATTCACAAATTACACGATACCAAGTATAGAGTGGGCATAAGGAATATCCATCTATCATAAAACTGAAAAATGTGAAAGTTTTATCTGGATATAAAATCACAAACTGATGTTTATAGGAAATCAGAAGTAAAACATAAATCTATTTCTATCAAACTACCCCGATGAACAATCACGAAATGTACAAGGTCTAATAATCCCATTATGCAGTGTAATTTGAAGCCCCAACTATAGAACTCAAAATGCTGCAAATATTAATATCAAATTGCTCCCCCAAATAAACAAGACCGATTGCTTCCAAGCAGTATTCATGAGGCTCAAATATATATATTTATTCAAAGCTTTTACATACATATTAATAAGAGTCAAATTCTTCTACATTCAATTGAAATGATTCATATCTTCCTTGAAGCTTAGTCTCTTCTGCAGTTTCAGAGCTATTCTAACTAGGGCTATGATATTGGCAGCAAAGCCTAGTTTTTCTGTTTTACCTCAATCCCTACCATTTACCAGAATTCCAAACACCAAACCACCATTTACCCATTCTAATTCTTTCTTCCTCTCTGAAACACTAGATGTAGCCCTCATTGTCCTAAAAAGAAAAGGGGCCATCATGAATATTCCTTTGGGTTTTTCCCAAAACCTCCAGATCGTATTATTTTTTCACTGAAATTTACTTCATTTTCTCTCAGTGGCTCACATAATTTCCTCTCATCCCTTCTCATCAACTTCTTTTTCTATTGTCCTCTATCTGAAAGTCATTGGGAGCAACAAATTTAACACTCAAAAGCCAAAATCCTACCAATTCTTCATTTTCTCAGAGTGGAGTGAGGGTAATTTCTCACACTAAAGCTACAGTATTTCCCCTCCCAAAGGAGGAAGAAAACTAATAAAAAATGAGAACAAACAAATAACAAAAAATATCCATAAGAAAACATAAAGAACAGATCATAGAGCATCCATGAGTATAAAAAAATCTTAGTTTATCCACGAGCTTTCCTTTAATTGCTCATTTGCTCTTATGCATATACAAGAACAGCTAGAAAGGATTCAAGGGGAAATTATTAAGTGGGCCTCTGATCAATAAGCCCATCAATCCAAATTTGATGACGCTCAACCAACACCATATCAATAACATTCGGAAACCCAAGAGCAGTATTTGATGAAGTTCTAACTGACCCTAAGATGATTCAAGGCATGAAATGGAAAACACCTATGTGAAAAGTTTATAATTATCAGGATTGAAAAATGAAAAAAAAACCCAATGACAAACTAGACAATCCGCAGTCAGGAAAATGAATTCAAGCAATTGGGTTTTTCTATAACTGCAACCATTCATCCAATTTGCCAAGGATTAATCATGAAAAACGAGTTGTAGTTAAATTATCATCAATAACCATATGACTGAATGCAAGGACATTAAAAATCACAAAAATATTCACTAAATATTGAATTGGGAACATGGGTTGTTACCTCGACTCTTCTTCTTCCTTTTCTGTCCGATTTTCTGACTTCTGTAGAGAACAGGACCGTTAAGGATCGGTCAAAGCCTGCGAAATCACAATCCAAAATCCAAACGAAAGAGTGGACTATGAGTGGTCCAATCCAAAATCCACCCAACGGAAAAGATCAAAATTCGGCCGAGGCTTTATAGAAAAAGAAAGTAAAGCTGCATCTCAAAATTCATCGAAAATTAGTTATAGGAGTTGAAAAACATTTAATGCCATTATCTTTACAGGAGGCCACCTGGAGTTCCTTTTTCCTTTTGGAAAAGTATATAGTAAGTAAGGTCATAATCACCATTGATTGTTAGATTTGAAATCATATGGTTACGAAAATATCATTTACTTAGCTCAAAGTTGAAATGAAATTTTTTCGAATGTTGTGACACACCCCAAGTTTTTGGTTTTGATGTATGATGGCTAAGGGACATCTTTATACTAAAGGTAAATAGCCTTATGGTATAAAATCCATTTTCTTCGTAGTACTTTATGTTTTCTAGTTGGCGAAATATGTGGGGACCGTATAACATTATGCTTGTGAAATGATATTTATTTTGATTCGATAAGGAGGATTGCTTTTTGCATTGATTTTTATTGATGATGATCTTTATGTGCATTTTAACTAAACAAGGAAAAGAGGCTAATCTACGATGAATGGAATAGTCTATTAGGCAATGTTACATGAATTATATGATTGGTTTTTTCATCATCATCATGCAAATCTTATCCCAATGATTTAAGATCGGCTACATAAATTATGTTTCTTTATTCTTCTTTATCAAGGGTCATACCATCAGTAAGACCAAATGTCATTATATTTTTTCTCACTACTTCTATCCGTATCTTTTTGGGCATATTTCTCTTAGCCTTTTAGAGTTTCTACTTGAACCAAGTCGCACCTCCTAATGGTGTTGTATTAGGTCTATGTTGCACATAGCCAGCCTGCCTATATTTACTTTCCCTCATCTTATCGAACCTATTGAAGCCACACCTAAGTTATCTCATATCTATTCATTTTGAATTCTATCATTTCTTGTCTTATCACATATGGTTGGTTTTCTCTTTTGAAAAAATTTAAAGAGTTTATAATAGACAATGTTAATTAAATGTTGATGGGTTTTTCACTTTGTAGAGGTTTCTTCAACTCCCTTTGTTGTAAATGACTCATTAAATACAGGTTTATTAAAATGAGCTATTTGTGACAATTTGTATTCATTGCTAAATGAACCTCTAATCCAACAAGAAGTAATTGATTTCTTCTAGATAAATAACTGGAATTTTCTGTGCAAATATGGTTTTTTTGTAAGTTATTTCTTAGAATTTCTTTGGGAAAAGTATATAAAGAAACAATTAAATTTTCATACAAGGAGGGCACAATTACTCAGTTCCATTACATTTCAAATCAGATAGTTGTGTCATGATTCAAAGCTCAAAGTTTTTTTTTCGAACTTTGTGATATTGCTAAAGCCATCCAATTTGACATTTACTAACTAGGAGTAATTGTGACCTCCTTGTAACAAAGATAAATGTGACCTCTTTGTAAAATAGGATTTATATACAGTGAGACCATTTACCTTTGATACAAAGTGGTCACAATTACTTACAACCATCCGATGTGAAATTTGATCGCTTGGGTGTGTCACAATGTTTGAGAAAATTTCTTTTGAAGTTTGAGGTTGATCAAAGAAATAAATGCAGCCACCCTATTCCACATCTAATGGTCAAGATTACTTTTGACCATCTTATACCAAAGGTAAAAAGTCTTATAATATACTTTTCCTAATAAAATCCCATCTCTTTTACTGTCTCATAATGATTAAAAGGCTTCGGCATTTTGTAACTTCTTGATATGTTCCATGAGACCATGAACCATTGAAGAAATTTGAGCATCCAATTACATATACACCAAAAAAAAAAAAGCAGGCAAAGTACAAAAAGAGTCAAATTGACTAAAAAATTATAAGAAAACTCGTGTACTGTTGGTTTTAATTTTCTTTCTTTTCTTTAGTTTTCTTTGTTGTGTCCCAACCTCGGACTGCTTACATTACGGTCTTAAACCTCATTAGAGGTGGTCCGAGATCCTTATCCTTTAACCACCTATAATGTGGTTGAACATCATAGTGTGGGCGGTTCGGCGATGGGAACCTTGAACTGCTAATTGGATTGAGCCTAAATGAACAATCTGATATCTCCATCCTCGTATTGCGTATAATGTGGTATAACACCACAATCTGGACAATGAGGATGGGGACGTCGGACCGATTGTCAAACCTCATACCGACCTTGTTTATAATTTTAACAAGTCAATTTGATTGAATTTTACATGGCTCTTCTGCATTAGTGTCATAGTTGCGTGGACAAATTTGCTTTCATCGTACGGAATGCATGCATCCATGGCATTCATGGGCCCTCATAAATAATAGGGGATCTGCATTGTGCCATGGTGTTGGATGACATGGGGGAGGACGTATCTAGGAATTGGAAGGAAGAGTAGGTGCGCCTCGTCGTGGTTGTTCCCGACAAAGTAGTTGGGCTGCCAATGGGCTGGGTTGGATCCGGATCCAAAAATATTTTTGGGCCCGATCCGATTTGACTTGGGCTTAGACTTCGATTGGATCCAACCCAAAAAAAATTTAATTATATATATATATATATATATATATATATATATATATATATATTT